TTACTTGTCTGTTAAACAAATAAGGAAATTGAGGCTCAAATAGCTCAAAACAACTGTCTATTTAGTACAGCTGGTTAGTAAATGCCCTGAGTTTAGAAACCAGATCCTAATATTTTCCTTACATCAGCTATCCCTTAATTAACTTTAGTTAGATACCCATGATTTCTAAATTAGTTCATATTTTCTATTTCAAAAAAAGTTTGGTGATTACCTTTACTGTATATTTTCCCATTCTAATGTTCCATTATCAGAATGGAAAATATCAAAACTATACTAGAGGACAAAAATATTTTCCTTCTGATTTTCAAGGTCTTACTCTGAAATAATCCTAGATTCGGTGTATATTAAGTTTTTAAGGTTTTCCTTTTATCAAAGGAGAATAACATTTTTTCAGCTTCTGCTTTCACTTCTTTCTCCACTGCACTGAGCTACTCAAAAGCATTCTCACTAAAGTAAATAACAGAGACATTTAGGCCATTTGCACATCATCTGATTTAACGCTGAAAACAGCCTTTTAAACAAATAGTTGGAAATAAGATATACTTTTGTGAATAATGAATTCTCTAGGAAAACCAGAGTTTTCTAGTTCCAATTTAGGGTGTATAGAGGTATGGAAAATTATCTAAAGTGATATAGTGAAGTTATCCCCAAAACAGACTGATTTTAATCTACTCTGGTCTAAAAATTGGTAATGCCATATGTACTTCATAAAAAGTAAAAAAGGGATAGGAGGAAGAGAGCTGTTATGACTTTCCCAAAGTTGAAAATAATTACTTGAAGCAGTGTTGGATATATTAGACATAAGCCCACATAATTATAAGCCAAATTATTTTTCACCAAACTCTGCTTAAAGAAGGTTGCCAATAAAGTATAATGCTTGTGTATATAGCAAGTTTGACCCACAGGAATAAATGACTCAACGAAATGCTGAATATTTTATTAGAAAAAGTAAGATCTTCCTGCAAAATTGAAAAGATTAGATGATATGAGCATTAAATAAAAATTCAGTGGTTTATTGAGTTTTAGAGGCCTGTGAATACACTCTTTAAATGTATCATGCATTTTACAAACATCTTCTATTGAGTTTATGGAAGCTTAAATTATCTAGTCAAGGCCATTCTCTCACACAGTCACTTTTGGGTGGGTCTCTTATTTTCAGGCCTCCAAAGTTGCTTTTGACAGTGAATAATTTTAAAAGTCCAAGTATTTGACTTTCTCTTATAAGGACTAGTCAAACCTAACCATATTATTAGGTTACACAACTTGAAAAACAGAAAATATAATGAGGCAAGCCGTAAAAGTGGCAAAGTATAGTGATTAAGAGCATGAGTTCTGGAGTCATGCTAACTGAGTTGGAATCCCAGCACCTTAACATTAGCTGTATAATCTCCATCTGGTTACCTATTCTACCTCTGTCTAACTTTACTTGTGTGTGCAATGGAGTTGTAATAGTATCTCCTTGGTATAGGGTTGTTTTGAGTGTTAAAGAGAATGATCTATGTAACATGTTTGGCATAGAAAGCTATTAATAGGTGTTAGTTATCATTATCATAACCAGTATCATTAAAGAAAAACAAGACTGACAAGTTTAAATAATATCCCATTTCTCACATGAGGAAACTAATCTCAGAGAGAGAGCATGTGTAGACCAATATCACACAAGTGACTAGCAATACAACTGGGAATAAAATCCAGGGCTCCTGACTCCAAGTCTAGCACTTTTTCCACTATGTCATGACAGCCACCACCATCCCATTATTGTCTTCAATTATTTGGTCATCAGGAATGTGGAGCCGTGGCACAAAAGGCATAAAAACTAAAAAAGTAACTTTATTGAATTTAATAGTTTGAATATGAAGGATTTAGGTAAGCTATATACAGATGAGTAACAGTGAAAATTAAACATTGACTGATACAGATGAGTAACAGTGAAAATTAAACATTGACTGATACAGGTTATTAAGAGGGAGGTTTGGATTGTTATTCCTGGGGTACTTTTAAAATTAAGATCCCCCATTCATTCATTCACTCATTCAGAAACATTTTGAAACACTTTCTATGGAATGTTCAATGGCTATTTATGGGCTGACTTGCAGCAATCTTGCCTAGAGCTTGATGCCATTGAAAATACCTTTCAACATCAAGATTTTTTTCATTTTGGACATTTACTCACACCGTCTTAGCTAGTTCTGTAAACTTCCAGGGAAAACGGTTTTCTTTAGCAAATCTTTCTGGGATTAATAAACCTTATGTTCAGATAGGTTTTCCCCCTTATGATCAGCCTAAATCCATATTGATGCAATTTAAATTCATGCTGGTCAACAACATAGGTCTAAATATTTTTGACTCATATTAAGCTACATCTTAATGTTGTGGTTTTTGAAGCTATTACATTTGTTCCCTAGTGTTTCCATGAGGGTTGTATGGGAAAGCCACATTTGTCTAGATGATCAATTCTAATAATGAAGGCTGAAGTAGGGCTAAAAATAATTGAATATATTATACTCTGTGGAATTAATGTTTCAGCTTTTCACATTTAAGAAGATTAAAGAATTCTTTCATTTTAGGGTGAGACTAGTCTTTGCTCAAATACAGCAGTTTGCCCTTCAAATATCTATTATATTACCATCTAAATAAGTAATTCTGCCTATACTCGCATAAACAAATGTTTTTATCTGTGATGTGTGATGTGTGTGTATTTCTACTTATTTTAATTTCTGCAGATTTATAAAACTTCTTAATATACTTTTGTATCTTAAAAGCTATTCCAGTAAGTGAGTAAGGTTTGCTAAGTTTCATTTGCTAATGCCATCATATTTGAATTGGTTACAAGAAGGAAAAGAGAGCTATCGTTTCTACAACACCTACCTGATACTAGCCATGTACATAACTGTCTTCTCAGAGTGATACTAGTGTAATGTTATTAGTACCAGCCTAAATAGACCAAACATCCTCTAGTCATGAATACCTTCACACACTGCTTATGGACGTATAAATATCATAGTCAAATTTGGGAAATTAATAGGGCGGTATCTGTTCAAATGAATAACACACGTACTTGATGGCCCAGCAATCCCACTTCTGTGTGAGATTCTAAAGAAACATGTTGCAAAAGGATGGTCATTGCAGCACAGTGAAAACGTGGAAACAATCTGAATGTTAATCGGTAGGAAAATATATAAACAAGCTATAAAACAAGCATTTTGGAATACTACTAATTTAAAATAATGAGTTAAAACATGTATCTAGTACATAATGCAAGAGATACTGTTTGGTTTAAGTTATAGAACAATAAAAGCAATAATATTACTACTTATACATAGATATTTATGTAAAGACACCTCAACTGACAATGGTCACTTCTGAGTAAGTGAGTGGAGGGAAGATGGTCAAAAGAAGGTCTTTCACCTTATCTATAACAATTTTTATATTAAGAATGTGTTCATGTATTATTTCATAACTAAAGAGCACCCCTTTTTTTTTCTTTTCTCCTTGAATCTGCTCCTCTTGGGTCTGTGAACCTGCCTACACAAGGTTGTATTTATAACCATTTTCCTAAACTGGAGAATGTATACCTGTTTTGTCCATAGTCTTTAATTCTCTGCATTTGTCTGAGCAAGTCTTCTCAATTATCAGCAGAAAATCTGGGAACATATGCAGAAGATTCTTGGAAGCACTGAGCCTGCAGTATTGCTGTTGATATCAGGGCTGGGGGTGGATGAAAATGCTGCAAGTTTGACAACAACAACAAGAAAGAATGCAGAACTTTTGGCAGTTTGAGTAAATGCATAGTCCTGTTTTAAGAACGCATGTAACATCTACATTATATCTATACTTCTCTAAGAGTCTGTCGGTGTTTACCTTGATAATGATTCTGATTTTTAATAGTCCCCTTGCTCTAAAGAAAAAAAATATTTATACATTTGTATAAAAAAATCTTGCAGTTGTGCCAATTGATTGAAATTATGGTAAGGTATGGGGAGATTGAGTAATGCCATCAACTCTGCACGCTAATGAAGTTATTGCAGTTTTGCTGATTTTGAGGAAATATAGAAATAATGCCAGCATGATGGATAGAGTGATCATTTTATTGCATCATTTTTTTAAATTATATTATTTCACTTTTATATATTATTTTTAACAGCAGAGCCTACTTTTTGAAATTAGACTAGAAGCAGAGTAGACAAACCATAATGAAGAGTCAGCTTGAATTGATTTAAATTAATTACTCTTAGTCGAGTTTTCAAAGGTAGCTTGAAATTTACTTTTAAAATTACTCTTAGTTGAGTTTTCAAAGGTAGTTTCTTATATTGGTTTGAGAATTATTTTTTCTAAGTTTTATTTTATTTTTTAAATTTTGGGCACCTATTAAGAGATATATCTATGGGATGCATAAGATATTTTAATAGAGGCATGCAATATAAAATAAGCACATCATGGAGAACAAGGTCTCTATCTCCTGGTTTGAAAATTATTAAATTTTATGTCATTTGATGAGAAATTACTTAATGAGTATAATGTACACTATTTAGGTGATGGTTACTTTAAAAGCCCAGACTTCACCACTATGCAAAATATCCATGTAACGAAACTGTACTTGTATCTCTTAAATTTATATGAATTTTAAAAACGAAATAAAACAAATACTGAAAGAAAAGTTTTGTTTGAGAAAAGATTATATCTTGTTAATTGCAAGCATATGATAACATTGGGATGTATATGAATACAGAGTTCTTGAAGGAGAAACAAAAAGAATGCAACCTAACAGTACAAGGAGAACGTATTGCTGTGAAAGTGCTCTAGAAAGTCTTTTATCATTGGGTTATGTGAGAAGACACCAAAGTAATTCAGTTCTTTGGAAAGATGGACATCATCTAAGAAAGCACTAAACAGTGCTCTTATTTCTGACTAATTGTATTATTATAAAAATAAAGAAAAAATATCTTGAGAACTTAAGATTTTCAAATAATTTCTTAACTCCCTTTTGTTTCTCTTAACAGGAACTCCATTCTCCAACTTTAAAAATATCTACATGCGCCCCAAGCACTCTACATATAAGCCAAAGCACTGAACAGGTAAAGGAAGTTGTGAATTACATTAGATTTGTTCCTCTTTTTTATATGGAAATATTCTTCATGCATGTAAGCAATCTTTAGACCCTCATAAGACTTTACACATTCACACCATGTGAGGATCATAAAATATGAAAGAGGATTCTCACATATGAGAATCAGCTCAGCCCATTAAAGTAATGTGAAACAAGTGCTATGAATCAGATTCTTCTGTTTCATTGCCTATTCAATATAGCTGCTTTTAGTTTGAGGGCAGTTTAATTTAGCCAAGGATCTCCTAGTGAGTATGGATGAAATAACTAGATTTTAAATTGATTGAAGACTTGGCTTTATGAGTGATAATATTATGAGTTCATATTCAGAGAGAATACCTTACAGGGTCATAACTAACTCTTCTTATAGGTGTATGATTTGAAAGACACACAAGGGTCTATTTCCTTAGCCTTTATGGCCTAATAATCTCACTTCTAGGATTATTATTGAATCTAGACATTGTGTATTTAAAAGGTAGCTACAATAATAAACAGAATATTAAAATATGTTTTATTAAGTAATTGCCGTATATCAAAAAGTAAATTTTAGAAAGCAAAACATAAAGCACACTAAGTTTGTTGTTACATGAAAGAGGAATAAAGGGGGCATGGGATTTAGAGGCTAGGAAGGTGGGAGACACTGTTTTAAGAAAACAATCTGACCCAGATGAGGGGTCAGGATGTGAACTTGGACAGTGAGGAGACAAATGAACAAAACCTTGTTTTTAGTCCTTGAGTACAGCGAGGAAAATGTGATATTATACAGAACAAATAAGAAAATTATCAAAGAAAAGTTTCCCTACCACTTCTCAGTTTGGTCTAGATTAGAGTTAAGTCAATTAGAGTAATGCACTTACTCAGCTTACATTTGCTGAATACCAAGTACGTGTCGCATATTGCGCCAAGATGAATTATGCACAATTACTATTTTCAAGGAGCTCACAGACTAGCATAGGCCACATACTTAACAAACCACTGGACAGTGGGATAACGGTTATAAGTGACTTAGAAATGCAGCTCTATAGGACCACCAAAGTGAGATTGCCTCAAAAAGTAAGTTCACTTAAATCACAGGGTGTTTACTACACTCAAACTCAGTCAAAAAACTTGTATTAACTTTTTTTCATAATTAAAGGCTTTAAATTAGGTTTACTGTACATATTATTTCTGAGAATGAAAATATGTTTGTTGTAGAAAATTATAGAACTATAAAAGAATATAAAGAAGCACAAACAAAAATTATTCATGATTCCTTCCCCCACCTAGAGATACTGCTCTTTATATTTTGCTGTGTTTTCTTCCATTCAAATACAAAATTGAGTTTATACCATATATACAGTTTTATATTCTCATTTTCTCACCTACATGATATCATGAGCTTTTAATATAAATTTGTATTATTCAAGACCATTATTTAATGGTTGCATATTCCAGCCTATGGATGATTATTCAATCTTTTTTGACTCCATAAGAGAATGTCTGCCTTGTTGAACCTTCATCAGCATTGTTATTTTAAAAAATTTCCTGTGAAAATATGGCATTCTTCTGCTATGTTTGATTCTTAGTTTGGCCGAACAATTTTTGTTAAGTTTATTAATGATTTGCTCTTATTGTTTATAAATTGTTCATGTCATGCTCATTTTCCATAAGCGTGATTTTATTCTCATTTGCCTCTAAGAACTCTCTTTATATTAATGATATTAACTCTTTTCTCTGACATGGAACGACCCCCTCCCCCCCACCTGCTCATTACCAGGCAGGGAAACACCGGCTTAGGCCTACAGCACAGAACCCCTATCCCAGGCTGATAGCACTGAGTGATTGCCGACCTGTATCTCTCTGGGTGGAGACCCAGGAGACAAGTAAAAGACCTTTGGCCATAACCACTGCTAATGTCCTCTCTGCTGCCTCCAAGTTGGGAAGAAAGCAAACACTGATATCTCCCTAGAGATTTAATGGATATCTCTGGAGTGCCAAGCCACAATCTACAGCCAGCACTCAAGTGGGAGAGGAGCCCACACTTTCAGAGCATTGAGAGTGAGCCTAGCTGCAACTGTGAGAAAATAAGAGGAGCAACCGGACTGAGCAAGAGCCTACCAACTGATCACTATGTCTAAGCGCCACCTACTGGATCACATCCCAAAGCTTCAACAACAATACCTCACTAACATAACCCCCTGTGAAACCAAAGACAAGAAGTCAACTATTTAGAACCTGCACAAAACCTCAGCTCTGTGAAGACATCCAAAAAAGAAGTCTATTGATTGTCCTCAATCTGCGTTGCAATTAAAGGAACAACCACACACAAAGATAAGAAAGAACCAATGCAAGAACTCTGGCAACTCAAATGGCCAAAGTGGCTTATGTCCTCCAAATGATCGTGCTAGTTCTCCAACAAGGGTTCTTAACCAGGCTGAACTGGCTGAAATAACAGAAAAATAATTTAGAATATGGATAGAAAAAAAAATAATTGAGATTTAGGAGAATGAAAAAACCCATTCTGAGGAAACTAATAATCACAATAAAATGATATGGGAGCTGATACATAAAATAGCTAGTAAAAAAAGAACCTAACTGATCTGCTAGAGTTGCAAAACACACTAGAAGAATTTCACAAGGTAATCACAAGTATTAAAAGAAGAATACACCAAGTGAAGGAAAAAATCTCAGAACCTGAAGACTGGCTATCTGAAAAAAGACAGACAAAAATAAAGAAAAAGGAATGAAAATGAATGAACAAAACCTCTGAGAAATATATGAGATTATGTAAACAATCCAAATCTATGAATTAACTGGCATCTCTGAAAGGGACAGGGAGAAAAACAACTGGGAAAACACATTTTGGGATATAGTCCATGAAAACTTCCCTACCCTTGTTAGAGAGGCCAACAGTCAAATTTAGAAAATACAGAGAACCATGCAAGATTCTTCACAAGAAGATCATCCTCAAGACACATAATCAGCAGATTTTCCAAGGTCAAAATGAAACAAAAAATGTTAATGGCAGCTAGGGAGAAGGGACAGGTCACTTAAAAAGGGAATCCCATCAGGCTAACAGTGGACCTCTGAGCAGAAACCCTATAAGCCAGGAGAGATTAGAGGCCTATATTCAATATTACTAAAGAAAAAAATCATCAAACAGTGATTTCATATCCGGCCAAACTAAGCTTCTTACGCAAAGGAGAAATAAGATTCTTTTCAGATAAGCAAATGCAAGGGAGTTTGTTACCACGAGACCTGACTTACAAGAGATCTTGAAAGGAGCACTAAATATGGATAGAAAAGATCATTAACAGTCAATAGAATAACACACTTAAGTGCACAGACCAGTTACGTTGTAAAGCAGCCACACAAAAAAGCCAGCATAATAACCAGTTAACAAAATGATAACAGAATGAAATGCATACATTTCAATAGCAACCTTAAATGTAAATGGGCTAAATACCCCAGTTAAAAGACACGGAATGGCAAGCTGAAGAACCAAGACTCCCACCAAAAATACTGTTTTCCAGAGACCCGTCTCACATACAATGACATCCATAGGCTAAAAATAAAGGGATGGAGAAAAATCTACCAAGAAAATGGAAAAAAGAAAAAAGCATGGGTTGCACTGCTAATTTCAGACAAAACAGACTTTAAACCAAGAAAGATTAAAAAAAAGACAAAGAAGGGCATTACATGATGGTAAAGAGCTCAGTTCAACAGAAAGACGTCTATCCTAAACATACATGCACCCAACGCAGGAGTATGAAGATTCATAAAGCAAGTTCTTAGAGACCTACAAAGAGGTTTAGACTCCCATGTGATAATAGTAGAAGGCATTAACACTCCACTGACAGTATTAGACAGCTCATTGAGGCAGAAAATTAACAAAGATACTCAGGACCTGAACTCAGTATTGGACGAATTAGATCAGATAGCCCTCTATGGAACTCTCTACCCCAAAACAACATAATATGCATTCTTCTCATCATTAAATAGCACATACTCTAAAATTCAACAAACCATCTGTTATAAAACAATCCTCAGCAAATGCAAAAGAACTGAAATCATACCACAAACACTCTTGGATCACAGTGCAATAAAAATAGAAGTCAAATTTTTTAAACATGCTTAAAACCATGCAATTACATGGTAATTAAACAATATGGTTTTGAATGATTTTGGGGTAAATAATGAAATTAGGGCAGAAATCAAAAAGTTCTTTGAAACTAATGAGAACAAAGATATAACATACTAGAATCTCTAGGACACAGCTAAGGCAGGGTTAAGAGGGAAATTTATATTAAACACCCACAACTAAAAGTTAGAAAGATCTCAAATTAATAACCTAACATCACAACAGAAAGAATTAGGAAACAAAGAGCAATCCAACCCCATAGCTAGCAGAAGACAAGAAATAACCAAATCATTGCTGAAGTAAGGAAATTGAGACACAAAAAAAACATTCAGAAAATCAACAAATCCAGGAGTTCGTTTTCTGAAAAAATTAATAAGGCAGATAGGTTGCTGGCTAGATTAATAAAGAAGAAAAGAGAGAAGATCCAAATAAACACACTTAAAAATGACAAAGGAGATGTTGCTATTGACCTCAAAGGAACAAAAATAACCATTAGAAGCTACTACAAACACCTCTATGCATACAAACTGAATAACCCTGTAGAGATGGATGAATTCCTGGACACATTTTTTTCTCCCAAGACTGAAGCAGGAAAAAAATGAAACTCTGAGCAGGCCAATAATGAGCTCCAAAATTAAATCAATAATAAATTAGCCTAACAACCAAAAAAAAAAAAAAAAAAAAAAAAAACCCCAGGACCAGATGGATTCACAGCCAAATTCCACCAGATGTACAAAGAAGAGTTGGTACCATTCGTATTGAAAAAATTGAAGAGATGGGACTCCTTTCCAAATCATTCTATGAGGCCAGCATCATCCTGGTACCAAAACCTTGCAGACACACACACACACACACACACACACACACACACACACAGACACAGACACACACACACACACACACACACACACACACACACAAAGAGAGAGAAAGTTTCAGGCCAAAATCCTTGATGAGCATTGATGCAAAAATCCTCTACAAAACACTTGCCAACTTAATCCAGCAGCACATCAAGAAGCTAATCCACCACCATCAGGTAGGTTTCACTTCTGGGATACTACACTGGTTCAACATTCACAAATCAGTAAATGTGATACATCGCATAAACAGAACTAAAGACAAAACCACATGATTATCTTAATAAATGCAGAAAGGCTTTTTAAAAAATTTAACATTGCTTCATGTTAAAAAAATCTCAATAAACTAGATATTGAAAGAACATACCTTAAAATAATGAGAGCCATATATGACAAAACTACAGCCAACATGATAGTGAATGGGAAAAACAGAAAGCATTTTCCTTGAAAACTGGCACAGGGCAAAGATACCCTCTCTCCCCACTCCTATTCAATATAGTATTGGAAGTCCTGGTTAGAGCAAACAGGTAAGAGAAAGAAAGAAAGAACACTAAAGCAGAAAGAGAGGAAGTCAAACTATCTCTGTTTGCAGTTAACATAATTTTATGTCTAGAAACCCCCATAGTCTTGGCCAAAAAGTATCTTAAGCTGATCAACAACTTCAGCCAAGTTTCAGGTTACAAAATCAATGTGCTAAAATCACTAACATTCTTATACATGGACAACAATCATGCTGAGAGCAAAGTCAGGAATGCAATCCCTTTCACAACTGACACACACACAAAATATCTAGGAATACAGCTAATTAATAAGGTGAAATATCTCTACAATGAGAATTACAAAACACTACTCAAATAAATCAGAGATGACACAAACATACGGAAAAACATTCCATGCTCATGGATAGGAAGAATCAATATTGTTAAAATGGCCATACTGTCCAAAGCAATTTATAGAATCAATGCTATTCCTATTAAAATACCAAGGACATTCTTCACAGAACTAGAAACAAAACTATTTTGCAATTCATATGGAACCAAAAAAAAGAGCCCAAATAGCCAAGGCAATCATAAGCAAAAAGAACAAAGCTGGAGACATCTGGAGACAAAGCTACCCAACTTGAAACTACTACAGGGCTACAGTAACCAAAACAGCATGGTACTGGTATAAGAACAGACACACAGACCAGTGGAACAGAATAGAGAGTGCAGATATGAGGCTGAACACTGGCAACTATCAGATCTTTGACCAAGCTGTCAAAAACAAGCAATGGGGAAGGACTTCCTATTCAATAAATGGTGCTGGGATAACTGACTAGCCATATGCAGAAGATTGAAACTTCCTTACACCATATACAAAAATCAACTCAAGATTGATTACAGTCTTAAATGTAAAACCCCAAACTCTAAAAAGCCTGGAAGACAACCTAGGCAATACAATTCTGGACATAGAAACAAGATGCCAAAAACAATCCCAACAAAAGCAAAATTGACGAATTGGATCTAATTTAACTAAAGAGCTTCTGCACACCAAAGGAAACTGTCAGGAGTGAACCAACAACCTACAGAATGGGATAAAATATTTGCCAACTATGCATGTGACAAAAGTCTAATATCCAGCATCTATAAGGAACTTGAACAAATGTACAAGAGAAAAACAACCCCATTAAAAAGTGGGCAAAGGACATGAACAGACACTTCTCAAAAGAAGTCATACATGTAACCAACAAGCATAAGCAAAGCTCAATATCCCTGATCATTAGAGAAATGCAAGTGAAAACCACGATGAGATTTCATCTCATAACAGTCAGAATAACTATTATTAAAACGTCAGAAAAAAAAAATAAAACCAAACAGATGCTAGTGAGGCTGTGGAGAAAAGAAGATAATGTTGGTTGGAGTGTAAACAGTTTAACCATTGTGGAAAGCAATGTGGCAATTCCTCAAAGGGCCAAAAATAGAACCACCCTTTTACCCAGCAATCCCATTCCTGGGTAAATATAAATCATTTTGCCATAAAGACACATGTATATGAGTGCTCATGGCAGCACTGTTCACAAAGGCAAAGATATGAACTCATTATGCCAAGAAATGAGAGATTGGATAAAGAAAATGTGGTACATGTATGTCATGGAATACTATGCAGCCATAAATAGAATAAGATCATGTCTTTTGTGGGGACATGAATGGAGCTGAAGGTCATTATACTTAGCAAACTTACACAGGAACAGAAACCCAAATACCACATGTTCTCACATGTAAGTGAGAGCTAAATAATGAGAAATGAGAAATCACAGACATAAAAAGGGAAACAATACACACTGGCTCACACTTGAGGATGGACGGTGGGAGGAGTAAAAATAACTACTGGGTACTAGGCTTAGTACCTGGGTGATGAAATAATCTGTACAACAAACCCCTGTGACATGAATTTGCCTTATTAACAAACCTGCATATGTTCTCCTATAATAAAACTTAAATTAATCTATAATAAAAGTTAAAAATAATAAATAAGTCTACATGAAACGCCCCAAAAAGCTCTTTTCCCATCAAAAGTTTACAATGATATCTATGGCCCTCTCTTTCCAACACACTGAAGACCTAAAGGTTTAAGTACACACACATGTACATTTTTCTCTTTGCGTCTCTTTTCATTTTTTTAAACATAAGATTTCTTCAAAATCAGAGTTTTAATTCATCACTATTGAGCTATTATTTTCTTGTAATCATTTAGAATGAAACATGCATTTTAAAATGCTTGTCACATATACTTAAGAATGTGAATGAAATACCATGAAATGAGTATAATACAAGTACCCAGAAAAATGTTGGATAGAACACACGCTTTTTTACATGTTTCTGAAACCAAAATTAACTAAATCATCAAATCATACATCATCATTCATGCAAATAACTAAAAATTTCACCCTGTAAATTGTTCCCTATTAGTATTGATAGCTCCAAGTTCATTAAATAACTATAATTGTATCCAGTCTTTGTCTTTTCTTCACAGGAACTTCATTCTCCAACGGTGAAAGTTACTACATATCCACAGACCACTATTAGGAAATATGTAGTACAAAATCCTGAACAGGTAAGACACAAACTTTTCCCAACATATAATTCTTTAGAAGTTAATTGCTTAAACAAAAAGGCTTAATCAGTTACCAGATCCTTAAGATCAGATTGTTGGACTTTCTTACAGGAAATTTCTGATTACCAGTATCAACAAATGCCGCCTTTAATGCCAGACAACCATGAGTCTATACATTCTGACTCAGAGATGCAATACTTCCAAGCAGCTTGGAAATTCTTGGGTTGTAAAGGTTTTCCTCTTCTGTAGACCCACCCTTATGCTGTAAAGGACTTTTATGGACTTTGAACAAACAAAAAAAGGAACAAAGTTCTTTTACAGCCTTTACATAAAAGCTCTGTCAACTGCTATACCAGGGGTTAGAGTCTTCAGGCTATTCACATTTGCCATGGAGATACGGACTAGGAAGATGAAAATTGAAAGTCAAAAGTCAAAAAGTGTCCCTATGCCTTTATTGCCTCTGGTGTGTGAAGTTTTGTTCCCAGCAATGAATTGTTTAGAATATATTATCTTTTTACTGAGATATATATCCTTACATTTCACAAACTAAAATTCCAGTGTAATAATCCTTCCACAACATATGCATTCACATTCATGCACACATACTTCTTTAGCTCCAACAGGAGGCTCTATGAAATTGTAAGGACATCAGTTTCACAATTGGCAACAGTATGATCCAGATAGGACTACAACAGTTCTTTGCTTTGCTCTGTATTTTTCTTCCACAATGGGAAACCATCCTGCCCTTCCCTTACAAGGTAAAACAAACTGTGGAAAGGAAAATGTTAGATTACAGTCCTGCTTGCTACTATGCTAGGTGAGTGGGGAAGATGTACTAGGCTTCTACATGTATCTATTCCCTTTCTTCTTTATTTATTTATTAAAAATCATCTTCCTGTGGCTCCTTAGCTAGGTGGCTGCTAATTGTGCATGTGTGTCAGTATGAACCTATGAGGTTCTGAGTTGAGGAGTGATTGTTTTGGAAATTTGCTTGAGTTTTTATATATCCATGTAAATATTGAAAGGGCATGTTATTATAGCTAAATCAGTTGCCTATTCCTCCTTTTGTAGAATCAAATATTTAAACAACAAATCTGAATAGGATGGAGGTAGGGACAGGAAGGTAGGGAGAGTGGAAATATGAAGGGCCTGGGGGAGGAGAGTGTATCTGTTTCTGTTACTTGGCCAGTCACTTTACACACATTACTCTTCTTCCTTTCCCTCTCTCTTTTTCTTTCTTTTTACACATAATCTGAGGGATATGCATACTTGGATGCATATTGCACTTGATGCTCCTTGCTTTCAGAGTTAGTCCTAGATGACCCATTATTTTCATAATGTGAGAATTGCTGTGTTTGCCTAGGATATATCCAGAGAGATTTTAAATGTCAGTCACTTGGGTTCCAATCCGCTTTGCCAGCAATACCTACGTGACTTTGGATGAATCTGTAATCTTTAGTTAACAGAGAAAAGGAACAATTAATAAATTTTGGGTATATACTCCACGCTAGGAAATTTCAATGCTACATCCTGTTTAATCCTAAAAAGGTGAAAAACAGAAGCACAGAGAAATTCAGTCATTTACTCAATAAATATTTATTGATTGGCTACTATGTGCCAGAAACTGCACTAAAAATTGGAGGATAAAGCAGTAAAGAAAACAAGGTCCCAACCTTCTTCAACTTAAGTTCTTAGCTAGTGTAAAACCATTCAATTACAAAGCAGCAAAATTGGAATCGAAATTAAACAATGCAGAGCCGGGGGTGAAACATTTGCAAATGAAGGACATTGATGATGGACGTCAATTAGGATCTAATACTCACCTGTGCACCCCCTTATCCACATGTAGGTACAAGAACAGAGAAATAAGAAATATATATGCAAGCACCTTACATATTGGAAAAACTGAGCCTGTTTCTGTAAAAGCTCATTAATATGGTTGTGTTCAACTACAAGTTGAACAAGCTTGTAGTTGAACACAGCCATATTAAGTTTTCTCTCACGACAAATTCCCAGCAGAGGGTTGAAGAAAATGGTCATTTAAAATTACTTAACTATTTGCATTATTGAGAAATGAAACAAATTTCAAGTTTCGTGATGCTTTATAATCGAAAAATAATCTAACTTGTTTTACAAAGCACCTTGAAATTCCTATTTAGCTATACCTACCATTTTATTTATCTAAGCAGATTCCTTTTCTGTTTGCTCTTTAAAATCCCCTCAGGAGAAGATTCTAGTTTAATTACAATATTTATAATAAGTTGAGCCTTCTAAACAGCAATTTCATCCTCTTTTACCTCCCAGCTTGTCTAATCTTTATTTCTTTTTCCTGTAATTAAACTGATTTCAATCCACTTCTTTCATTATGATTTTTTTCTATCTCTGTTAAGCCTTTTTAATTTTTTGTTATTCCGGATCTTCCTTATTCTCCATTTGTGATCATTTAATCTAAGAATTTATGCATTCTGTTTAAAATTAGATCCAGAAATGAAGGAAATAGATTTGTTCCATTAGTGATATAATCCAATTGATACTAATCAATTTCATTAATTTTCCAGTTGTGAAACTCCTGCTATGGGGAAGACACGATGCAGTCTCTCAACAGAAACAGGGAAATAACATATGTTTTCTAAACTAAAGGAGCATATGGTTCTTCTCAGGAAAAGAAATAAGACAGGTCCACAAATAGCTATGTAGAATACATGGTGAGATGTAGGATACAGGCCATGAAAAGACTACAGATAAATTCTTATTGGAGTTCAGATGTCAGAGTCAACACATTTGTTTGAGATAAATCAGGGAAGGATTTATTGTGGTATTTAAGGTATTAATATGATTAACGTTGTATTAGCATTGTTTTACTACTAAGGAAATGAAAGTTTGAGTAAGTGTAACTTGCTCAGGTCTTCTGATGAAAATTCATGACTCTCTATCTTTTCTGACAGCTATTTTAGTGGGTAGCTTTAACAAGATTCGATGACTTATTGGATGTGGAGAAAAGTCAAATATGACCCTAAGCTTTTTAGCTTGAGACACTGAGAGTAAGGTGACCCACTTAAAATGATTCAAAAGTGAGTGCGAGGAGAAGTAGATTTAAAAAGATTGAAATTTTGAGTTTTATTTGAACCAGTTGCATTTTAGTTGCATGGAAACAGAAAGATGCCTAACAGGCAGTTAAAAAATGACTCAATGGAAGGTCACATTTGACATAGAGATGTGGGAATCATTCCTCTTAAAGGTATCATTGAAGCTATGGGAATCAGTGAGACAACTAAGAAGTAATGGAGAATGTTGAGGTGAGAACCTTGAGAAATGCCTACTTTAAGTGGACAGAAGGAAGGAGCCACTTTCACACACAGAGGGGTTACCAGAGAGAGATGTGAACACACCGTAAATGAAGCAAATGCAAAAACAGAGTGATCAACCATCTTAAATGACAAAAACACCTAAGAAGATGAGGTTTGAGAATAGGGTTTGTCCGTTAAGGAACAGATAGTGACACTGATAGAGCAGTTTTGGTATACTTGTGGAGGCAAAATTCAGATGCAATAAGTTAACAGGTGAGCAAATCCAGAGGAATTGAAAATATGAGTGAAGATTACTCTTCTGGAAGTGTATTGGTCAAAGGAAGGAAAGATGGGATGGTCGCTAAAGGAGAATCAAGCATCTTGTGCACCTGGGAAACTTGTGGATAGAAAAAAAACAGTAATAAGGGAGGCTAAAGATGCAACAGAGAAAGGAGACAAATTGGATAATATTCTGGAAGAGCTAAGAAGGAATGGGAATCCAGGTACAGACCAAGAAATGACTTCAGGAAAGGAGAGAGAGAGAGAATGCATTTTTTCTTTTTCCTTAAGTAGATGGAGGAAGCAGAAAAGGGAGATTTTTTGCATGTGAAGGAAAATAGAGAGATCTCATTGGATAGATTATTTTGGTTTTCTCTGTAAATAGGGGGAGAGTGAGGGAGTATAAGCACAGGAGCTGAGGAAAATGAAAAATATTTGTAAGCAACATTATAAAGAATTTGATGACTACAAATATAACCACAAAGGTCGAAGGGTCTACTTGAAGTTGAATATCTTCAAATTGTAATGAGCCAAATCAGCAAGTCTTCTTTTCAAACAAAAATTTCTCCACCAAGATTTTGGGGCCTGGGAACAGTAAAGTAGATGTTGGGGATTATATACTTTGTTAGATGTGAGAATTACTGCCAGATGTTCTAACTGGTACAATTAAAATTATAAGATCTACCACTTTGGAAACACCTATTAATTTTTAGGGTGGATCTGGCACCGATTCAAATGAACAGGTTGAGATAAAGAAAGTGCCAAAATAGGAGAACTGTCTAGCAGCTCATTTGTTGAGAAATCTAAAATTTCCTATTAATTTTGTTGACTTATTTTCATAGAATTATTTATATTCATTTTTTATTCACTCTCTTACAGACATGGGGAAAATACTAGTCCCCTAAATTTGGAGGGTTTTTTTCTTTTTTCAGTAAGTCATTTCACATAATGTAACCAAAATACATTCAAGAGGGAATCAGCAGTGTTAGTGCCTAGACCATTTTATTTTTAAAAAATAACTATTCATCATTTATAGTGAGCTTTATTCCACAGAAAAAAAATTCATGCTTTTGCTAAATTTGTTTTCCCTCTCTTAGAGGATGGTTACATTCCTAAGATAAAGATTTTCATCATTCCTTCTCTCTCAATCTTCTGTTCATTCACTATGTGGTACTCAAGATAGTCGAAGTCCCTGCCCTCAGTAAGCCTACTTGTGTATATTTTTATACTTGATATTCTAGAAAAGTTATAAGGAAATTATCAAAATTATTTAAAATACAGTATGGATTTAAAATATTATATTACTATATTATTAAAAGTGAATATCATTTGTGCATTAAAATTATAGATTAAGGGTACTTTAAAACACATGATTTTACTTAATATTCTCCATTACTCTCCCTATGCTAAGAAAACTGAGCCTGCAATAAGGTTAATGGCCTACATAATTTTCCACAGCACATAGGTGAAGGAAGAAGAACTGAAATACAGGTTTTATGATTCTGTAATTTTTTCCCAGTATACTTTCTTTCACTGATTTTAGTAGTCAAGCCCAATGGATTTGTAGTAATCCAAATTCAATCCACTTTATAATTCTCATCTGTTTACCACTCTGAAACATTTATACCTTTGACTTCCTACTGCTTCTTAAAAATTCCTCTTTTCTTAATTTACAGTACTTTCCTTCTAAGACCTCTTGAGTCATGTCTAGTTCTGTCTTTGATATTCATTTGCTTATTCAGCAATTGCCTGGTTTTATCTAGCACTAGTGAGCAACCGATATTGATATATAAATATATATATATGTGTATATATATATATATATATACACATATATATATGTATATATATATAATAGATCCGCAGCTTTGCACTCTCCACTTAGTTCCAGACCTGTGTTTTCACTTGTGTGCTGAACATGTATATCTGAGTGTCTACCAGATTTTTTTTGTAAAAGCATCTTTTTGGGAGTTATTTGCAATCATTTGACACATGTTAAAGGAATTACTATGCACTATGTACTTTGCTAGATGTTCTGGGGAATAAAAACATAATCAGACCTAGATTCTTATTAGGAGCACTTAAAATGTGTCTCAGCATTTTCATTTTTGGTAGCACGTAGTACACTCCTCAGGTTCAAGATCTCAGAGTCAGTATTGAACAGTACTGTCTTGTATTATTGGGATAATCTTACCAGTATCCTTATCTGTACTCTTCCTTTAATTAATCTTCCTGAAGTAAACTTCACCTCATACCCCTGTTTAAAAACACATAAAGACTTCTCATTGCTTGAAGAACCAAGCTCTATCTACTAAGTATGTCCCACACATATAACTTACACTTTTCCAAACTTGGTGACTTTAATGGTTTTGTTTCCTTCTCTTGGAATACCATTTTCCTCCATTTTCTCATATCCAAAGACCACCTTAATCTTCTTTCAAACGCCACCTAATCCAGGTACCTTACCAGAACACTGCCAGATAGAACTCAGTTTTGTTCCTCTGAACTCCATTCCGTATGTTCTTTCTCTGTACATGTAAGGGCACTTGTCACTTTCTACCTTGTATATATGTTTGTGTTCATATATTATCTAGATTAGGGATTGGCATAATTTTTCTGTAAAGAAACAACTAACAAATATTTTTGGCTTTGTGGCCACATAGGGCGTTGGCTTTTGTTGTTCATTTATAGTCCATTAAAATCTAACTAGCATTTTTAGCTTGAGGACACAATAAAAGCAGACTATCTGCCATAGATTAATGAATCTTGATCAGTATTAAATGCTCCTGGTAATAATATAAGTCTGACTCACATTTTTATGCCTCATAGCATGTAGCAAAGTACACTGTGCATAGCAAGTACTTATGCATGTGTTCCATGATTGCACATAACTAACAAAAAGGCTCTTTTACAAAAACAAACAAATACAAAATAGCTTCTGGGGAAATATTTCTAAATATATACAGCTTTAGATTTAATACTTGATCACCTAGTCAGATTTTGTCACTTACATATTTGTTTTACTAAAATACCCAAGGAACAATTGGTTAAAACACTTTTTGCTCAAACTTGAATTCAATATGTATATAACTTTTGATTCAAGAGCATCTTGTCTTTTCAACAGTGTTTTAGTCCAGTTGCTCTATGACTATTTACAATAGCAGACTACAAAAATCCTAGTACATTTTGTTGATTTTGAAATGTTCTTATATACATTAACTACTAACAGTCTTGCCTATATGGTCTTCTATACTATTCCCCTATATCACAAAATAAATTAATGCAAGTTTCATTTTGTAGAAAAACAACAAACAAAACAACCCTAGCACTCCCTACACAAGTAGATTTCAAATGAAAACCAAAGGAATGGAAAAGAACGTGGTGTACATTACATTTATTTTAGACTCCTGGTCTGATTCTTATGAGCTCTTCCCCAGTTTCAGATTTTGGACATGTCACCAGCCTATATTTCGTTGGCTGACATCTTCTAGGCACTCAGCTAATCTTACAGCAATTTAGTTGAATATATGGAGATAAAGTGGCTCTTAAAGCCTCTACTCTCCTCTTAATATTCAAAACATATGTTGTTCTGAGAGTCTTAGCCTTGATTATAATCACAATTAAGAATTATACATTTCAAGGGCACCCAAATTGAGTTGCAGGAAAAAACTCTTTAATATAGTTCTACCTACTTTATGGGTTAGTCGTGCTGAAATATGTTTATTTTGCATTTCTCCAACAATAGTTTTGCATAAAAAGAAATTTTTCAGTGAACCCAATTTAAATGAGATTGACCTCATGCTTGCTTACCTCAGAGGCGACTCATCAGGAACAGAAAGAAAATTATCTTTCCCACTCCCCACCAATCTCCACAAAAGACTTTATTAGGCTTAGTAAAATGTAATAGGAGAAATCCAGATTGTTCCTTTTGATAGAGGAAACTACCTTTATCATTATTGCTGTGCATCTATCAATATTATTGCGATGTCATTCCACTCTCTTATTAAGGTTGGCTACTACCTCGGAGCCTATTAGACACTGGATATTTGCCTAATTTAAGGTTACTCTGAAAAGACACCTTTCAAAACGAAACATATAATTTACTATCATTTTAGGAACCACTGTCTCAATTCTTAAGAGGAGGCCATTTTTTCCCAGGAAACAATGTTATTTATGAAAAAACAATAAGAAAAGTGGAGAAGCTGAATACTGATCAGGTAAGTAATATTTGTTTTAAAACTGTATTATGGTGTACAATTTTGAATTGTGAATATTTTAATAGAGATCAAGGGACATTCAACTCTGAAGTGCCAGGCAAGACCACCATGACTTATAATATGCTATGATATCTACAGCCCTTTATACTATCCTTAATAGTTTCATATTCATTTTTCATGTGAAGTATTATTGTCCCCATTTTACTGAAAGAATTGAAGTCAGGAAGATATGTGATATGTGAAGTCACATAGAAAATTAATGACACATATGTGAAGTCACATAGAAAATTAATGGCAGAATCTGAACTAAATATAGATATCTCAGTGCCTTGTATGTTTTCTTCTAAACTGGTGCAACAAAAATCATAATTTAAAACCTTAAAAGTTGTCCTAATTATTTTAAATGAACAATATATATAAACAGATATGTGAAATACCACATACTGTAAAATATCTAGAACACTAAAGCTTCAAGTACATTTTAAAAATTTGGTTAAGCTCAAATTGACAGACCAATTGTAAAACTACAGCAAGGTCACAGTAATTCCATGGCATCTATAGCACTAAGTCCTTCATGTGGAGTTGTTACTATGATCAACAGAGGGTTCATATTGCTCTTCTCAGTGTGTACAAGCATGTGTAGCGCAATGTCCAGGACGTGTCTGTTGGACGTTCTTGAACTAGAGCAGTATATTAGTTAGGGCTGCTGCAACAAAGTACCACAAACTGTATGGTTTCAAACAACAGAAATTTATTGTCTCAGAGTTCTGGAGGCTAGAAGTCTGAAATCACTGTGTTGGCAGGGCCATCTTCTCTCTGAAGCTGCTAGAGAAGGAACTCTTCCATTCCTTTTGCCTTGCTTTTGGTAGCCTCAGACATTCCTTGGCCTGTAGATGCATCACTCCAATGCTTCGACTTCATATGGAAGCTTTCCTGTGTGTCTTCACATTATCTTTCCTCTTTGGATGTTTGTTTCTGTGTCCAAATTTGCATTTTTATGAAGACACCAGTCACATAGTATTAGGGCCATCCTAATGACTTGATTATCTCTATAAAGACTCTGTCTCTAAATAAGATCACATTTTGAGTTACTGGGCTAGGACTTCACCATTATCTTGGGTGTGGGAGAATAAAATTCAACCCATCATAGGCAGCTAAACCCTAGCAAATCAGCTGCAATAATAAAATCATTTTTCTCATATGCAAATCAAACTGACTAAAAATTCTAGCTTTTCTTTTTTGAACTTTTTGACATGATAATGCATTTTATTTTTATGAGCACCTGGAGTTGTTTGTTACCACATTCATAGGAACTAACACATTATTACTTATTTGTGTCCAGTTAAAATAAAACAAACTTTCAAAGTCATAAACATGTAAACCTTTAATATTTTGATTTGCTTGGAAAGCTGGATATAGTCTGAAGGGTTTGCTATGGTATGTATTGAGCACATATCTTACAAAGGAGCAGCATAATATTTCTGGACATTATGATACCAAGTAGAAAAAATTCATGAAATGTGCCTGTTTTTCAAGGGGCATTTTCCTTTATAACAAATCAAATTATAATATCTGTCTTTTATCCAACTGGGCTACAAAAAATAAGTTTGACACATTTTAAATAGTAAGGAATTTTAGAGGCAAATCATTTCATGCTGCTTTTAGCTTCCTGTTTTAAGGAGAACAGTGTTTCTAATTCGTGGATTGTAGAGTAAAATATTGAATATCTTGTACATTGTTGCCATGCAGCTGGAACAACTAAAGAATAGCTCCTTTAAGAGAATACTGCTGCTATTTACTGTTAATTTGAATATTTACTTGTTTATGCCCATTTTTCTTCTTAATTACTTAAACAGTTTGGGAGTTTACGAACCTCCATGAAATCTGCTCAATGTAAAAGGAACCATGCAGGTAGAGCAAACTACAGTTGCTTTGTTTTAATAATTTCATCAGTGATGGAGATAAACTAGGACAATTTGGGTAAAGCCACAGTCTGGATAAACCTATTTACTGTCACATGTGACCAAATCAAATAGGATGAGCTCTTAGGAGTTGAAAACTGTTCAAGAAAAGAGATCTTTGTAGTGGAAGGGTGGTAAAATGGGGCCAGGTGCAAGATAACTATAAAATTCATATGATTTGTACTCATCATAATTCTTTTTACTCTATTGAAAAGGAAAAAAAATCTATGACAAATCAGAAATGTTTGATCTTTTGTATTTTAAAATTCAGCTTATATTTTTAAAAAATATGATGAATATATATGAATATTTTGCTTTAGAAAAAGAACTTTAGTAGTCAGGTGTAAGAATTGAAAACTGAAAACCTGCTAAGACCTTAGTGGTATCAATAAATGGTCCATAGGCCAAATGGGCTCAGGTAGACTGCAAGATACCCCAGATGATGGGAATGTGAGTGTTCTATTCAAGAGACAAGTAATATATCAACAAAGGAAGATTATTGAGAAATAGGTTTTGTTTTCTTTATTGACCGCTAGTGATGTGTGCTTTCCAAGTGTTCCCTAATTTGCTTTTTGAGGAACACTCTGTTTTGTTTTGTTTTATTCCTTCAGGAGAGATTATATTTCAATAGCCTACAAGTTCCCCAATGAGTGGTAGTCAACTCAGACTATTAATGTAATTTTAACTCATTCCAGTATATGAAGGCATTTTGTAACATAAAAGACAATAATAATGTAACATAAATTCACCCCCCAAAATTCCTAAACCGTAGAGATTTTAGTGCTAGTATATGTACAAAGTGTGTCATTTTGATAAGAGTCTAGAGAAAATGATACCCTGAACTAATTTTGCAACCTTTATTATGCCTATATCTACCAAGGCATCTTCTATTTGTAAAATGTGCTTGTTTACATATATTTCATTCTTTCAAAATATTTTTGTATACATGAAATGGTAATTTTTATATATGAAAAATATTAAGTATAAAAAAACATTGAAAGGCATAAAAAGAGTATTAAAAGGTATACAGTGACAAATAAACCTCCTTATCCAGACACTTTTGTCCCCAGGTTCTCTTCCCAGAAACAGCTACTCTTAAAACTTTTTTGGTCTATGCATATCAAAGCAGTTATATGTGTTTGTAAATGTATATGTCACTTTAAAAAAATGTTACAGCAGAAAGACTATACCATTTCATTCTTTTGCACTTCGTTTTTTTATATTTAATACAGCCTGAAAATTGTTTCATATAAAAAATTTAAAACCTTAAGTGTTTTACTGTATTGATTAATATAGGTCAAGTTTCCATAGTCAATAGGATATTGAAAGTATAATGCATTGCATTTATACTTTCAAAATTAATGGTATGTGCATACATGTAGCATTATGATTCAAAATAGAGTATGTTTCTTTTGAAAACAGGCTTCCAGATGTCTCTTATCAAAGTAGAATAATCACAAGATAATAAAGCAAATTCAAGTATGCCTGAAATCCCCCAAAATAAAATAACCAAGTAACTTTTCCTAGTCTGTGCTCTATACTTACCAGGAAAAAAAAAGCCATGACAAATAAGCAGATAACAAAGATTTAGTTTAAAAACAACAAAGTCTAGACTATCTCGACGTCAGTGCAAATTCAGCCTAATATCCTAAAAGAAGTTTAAGGTGGAAATCATGAGTTCCAGTCCCAATTTTGTCATTAATTAGCTGTGTCATTATAAGCAAATTATCTTACTTTTCTAGACCTCAGAGTTTTTTTTTTTTTTCCGTCTGCAAAATTAGTAGGGTAGATGATGATAAAGTTGGTGATTACTATGATAATGCTTATGATGCAATCATAATAATGTTTGCTACTCACCTACTTTGTAGTAAGCTGCTTATAGACATTAGTTGATTTACTCCTCATAGCACCCCAAAGAAATATGCACCACATTCATTTTTACAAATGGGGAAATAGAGGCTCATAGTGGTTGCATATTCAGTTTCTCAAGATCAGAATTAGTGATAAAATCAGACTTAGCATTCATATTTTCTTGATCTGAAGTTTCAGTCACTGCTTTTATTTAACATTTTAAGAAATTTATACTTAAGTTTCATAAGGATAAGAACTTTGCTCCCCAACCACTGTGACTCTAATATGCTTCCTGACATTGAAAATCACTATACTATATTATTTTTTAATTTTAAATTTATCTATATCTTCAGTATTATAGTGTTTTATGTAATTAGGTTCTGAAGCACCTACTGAATCATCAAAGTAATATCAATTAATATTAATATTCATTATGGTTTTAGTGTTAGGTATAGCTGGAATATTAATTTAATCAGAACATGCAATGCCTTGGCCAATCTATAAGTATTTGAATGGTCGCAGCAACCTAATCAAATACAAATACAATTTAATACAAAATTTCCCCAACGAAAAAAATGGAAAAAAAATATCACTAGTTAAAACTATAAATCCTAGGGTTTGAATTAGAGTGAAAGAAAAAACTAAATTTAACCAAATGGTTTCAGTTGTTTTTCTTAATCAGTAATGTTTATCCTCAGTGGCTGTTTTTGGCATGTTTTTGTGTCTTAGGAATGCCATCCTCAGGTTCAATGCCATCATCACATTGTCCAACAGCCCCAAGTCATCCACTCTTCATACTGGCAACAACCTGATTCTAGCCAGCAAATTCAAACCATCACAGGAAATGATTCAATTTCTACACATGTTGGAAATAAACTGTGCCATAGTGGATCAAGCCAGATTCATGAGCAGGTAAGATCAATCAGCTAATTCCTTAACAAACTGAAATAACATGCTCTAACTCTTCTCATACTACTGTGCAGGTTCTCCCATTAAATTTTCATCAAAATACTGAGAAGTTATACTATTGGTATTTGTGCTTTGTCAGAGCATTTTTAGAATAAATCTTTCCATCTTATCTCAGAAGATAAAACAATTTAGGTCCATTAAGACATTAAATCTATAAGGTTAGTGATGAACTGGTTAATGAATACCTAATTTTTAGTTGATCTTCAGTTCTAAAATGGACCCAACAATTGTGCAATGTTACATATTTTCATGAGATGTGGTATTTAAATGAATAATAAATTTGAAGTGATATTGTCTAAGATGATTGTAATGGTCACATTTCACCAGTTAGTATTTACTTCCTGTGTGTCTTCTTTGAGAATATATTATTTGACTTGAGAATCAAGTCAAAACGTGTAAATTTTATTATGTATGGCATTGACAAAATAGAACTAGAACTTAGTTGCTAAGGGGAAATCTCTTGTAATATGATCCTTGGTAATTAATTTATGTTATGAAGACTTTGGAATCTTGTAAACATCTACTATACAAGTGTTAAAGGAAAAAAGATTTTCTTTTTTATAATAACTGGAACAATGGAGAATCAACTATCATTTGTATTTTTATAGATCTCCAATTGACTGCTTTCATAGGCAACTCTTACTAAATGACAAGAGAAAATAAGAAAACATAAAGAAGGAGCCAGCCCAAATAAGAATTTGATTATTTTATATTAAATATACATGAGATTGTTTCTATTAACGGAAATGTTTAAATATACATTTTGGCCACATTAGTCAAAAAGAACTATTTCAAATCCATGTCTCTTCAATCTAAGAAAAGCCTATAGCCAGGTTTGGTGGTTCACATCTGTATTTCCAGAGCTTTGGTAGGCCAAGGCTGGAGGATCACTTGAAACCAGTAGTTCAAGACCAGCCTGGGCAACATAGTGAGATCTTCATCTCTACAATTTTTTTTAATTTGCTAATTTTCTAAAAAAGCCTAAAATTGCCTTTCTTCTATATATCTGCATAGAAAAACTGGGCTCTAGAATAACTCATAGAATACAATCCAGAAGGTGTTGAGTATTTACCTTAAGTGAATTAGTAATAACCATAAAAGAGACATTTTATTAGATTATATCACTTGAAATTGTCATTTTTGTAGGTTGAAACTGGTATAATATCAACAATTTTATACAGTTCAACCTAACTCTTAACTTTGTTTTGCCTTAGTTTCCTCTAATAGGGGAAAGTGGCAAGCACATATAAAAGCATAATACAGAGCAAAGTGCTTTCTGTCATAAAAGAGTAAAATACAACATGCTTTGGGTACAGAAGAGAGAATAAATTAATTTCAGCTGAGAGATCTAGGAAGGCTGTATTTAGCAGGAAGTAATTAACCTGAGCTTTGAAAAATGGGCAGAATTTCCATATATGGTATTGTGATATTGCATGGAAATAATATCCTAGGAAGAAGGAATCACATAAACAAAGTTATATAAAGTTTATTTGGGAAAGTACATTTTGGGTTTCAGGAAAAGTTAGGGGTATGATTTGAATGGCATGAAAGACATGTGATAAGAAGTATTAGAGTGTAGTGTTAATATGATACATTAAGGCCAGGTCATGAGATTCTTAAGTGTTAAGTTAAAAACTCTGGGCTTTCTTTAGCAGGCAACGGAGGATGAGTGAAGTTTACTGAGTAGAAAAAGACTAACAGGTATGGCTAGCATATTGATTTTCTTCTTACAACAATCAGATTAGGAAGGTGGTATTGTTGTCCTTACTGCTCAGATAAGGAAATCAAGTTTCAAAGAGTTTAAATTATCTGCAAAGGCTTGCACAGCTAGCATGTGGTAGAGCCAGGATTGACACATATGTAGGCTGACTCCAGAGCCCATTGATAATTCCTCCTTGAATTCAGGTCACTTATGTGGAGAGTCCTTGAGCAATAGCATAAACATAAACAAAGCACTTGGTTAAGAAGAGTCTGCCACAGGGAAGGTGTTGGTGATAGGAAGTAGACTAGTTTCAGGATATGGAGACCTTAGATCTTGTCCTAACTCTGTTCCCCTCGAGCTATGTGTTTTCAGTAAAACAAAATCTCTCAGCAACATTCTCATCCATAAAATACTAAATAAAAATATGTGCTCGAAATTTTTTAATAAACTACAAAGTCTACAACTTGAAATAATCCACGGAGAAAAATTTGAAAGGGAAGATTATAACGCCGGGTGCGGTGGTTCAAGCCTGTAATCCCAGCACTTTGGGAGGCCGAGGTGGGTGGATCACAAGGTCAAGAGATCGAGACCATCCTGGTCAACATGGTGAAACCCCGTCTCTACTAAAAATACAAAAAAAAAAAATTAGCTGGGCATGGTGGTGCGTGCCTGTAATCCCAGCTACTCAGGAGGCTGAGGCAGGAGAATTGCCTGAACCCAGGAGGCGGAGGTTGCGGTGAGCCAAGATCGCGCCATTGCACTCCAGCCTGGGTAACGAGCGAGACTCCATCTCAAAAAAAAAAAAAAAAAAGAAAGAAAAGAAAGGGAATATTATTAGAGTCTATTTCAATAGTCTAGGTGTAAAACAAAGTAGAATAATTACAATGTAAATCATAGGAGGAATAATTATTAGAGATGGGAACTGTATCATAGGATTAAGAGTTTTGTCTAGTGGCAACAGTAATGTTATAATATTCTTTTCCCAGCTTAGTACATCTAATAATACATTTGATTAGACTATATATTGTCTACTCAGTAAAGGGGCAGAGTTAGGTAACTGATGTATCACTTTATTTTTTATTATTCATACTGTAGTTTGAAATTTCTATGTAGTTTTTTTAAAGTCTAGAGAATGCTTTTTTCTTTAATTTTATTAAATTCTGCTTTTTTCCATTTTAGATAATCTCTTTTCTATTATTATACTTTAAGCTCTGGGGTACATGTGCAGAACGTGCAAGTTTGTTACATAGGTATACATGTACCATGGTGGTTTGCTGAAACTATCAACCCGTTATCTACATAGGTATTTCTCTTAATGCTATCCCTCCTTTAGCTCCCCACCCCCCTGCTTTTTCAATATTTTATAAGGATAATGTTGAAGTGCTGCTGAAAATAGAATAGTGCCCTTGGAAGCACTAGTCTATTGGAAGCTTAGAGTTTGTAATTTCACTTGTATAGATTATATTGGATTGGGTCCATTCCTACTCAGAGTGATGACAGGGTAACCTAGTTGTGGAGATCCAATGCACAAAGGAGGGCAGAGAGCGAGTTCTCCCACCTAGACTCCTTGGTGTTTACATGTCCCCTGCAGTGATATGTGGGTAGAAGAGTATCTTTAAAGAGTGATAAGCAGACATAGGTTGGGCTCTTTTAAAACTACAGTATGACCCATTTTCACAGTTTGTGTTTAGAGTTAAATTGTAATTTGGAAGGAACATGGTAAAGAAGAAAGAACACAGGCATTCAATTTAAGTATCTGAATTTATAAAACCTGATTCTGCTGAGCTGTATGACCTTCAGCAATAGACTTAGCTGGACTGAGCCTCAGTTTCTATATCTCTAAAAGGGGAAGAATCATACTTCAATGTACAGTATATCCTACAAGAGGACTAAATGAGATACAATATGTAAAGCACCTAGCTTAGTGCCAAGTACATAGCAGATGCTGAAATAAATGTTTGATGATTGATCTTCTTCCCCCAACTCTGGTTCGCAAATGTTTCAAATCACCAACATAAGAAATTAGCTTCATTGTAAGACTATTTTTAGATGAAACTAGATCGCCTTTAACATACTTTCCCCAAAGTGGAAGGCATTAGAAACATTTTTCTAAATCAGATATTTAAAAACCTTGCTTTACAATATTTTTATAAAATAATTTGTGTAAATTTTCCATGGTCCTCCTAAGTAATATCACACTTTTGATTTCAAATTCAAAATATTACCAGTCACATATCCTTCTCTGAAGAAATTAAGGATAACATGCTGTGAACATTTTCCTGTCATTAGCAAGGAACAGATAATTTTACTCCTGTTAGTGACAGGGAAAAGCTCAGCTAAACTCATTTTACAAATCCTCATATTGGTGGCGTTTATAAGAAATATTCAAATAAACGTATACAGTGTGTATGCAACTCTCTTCCACTTGGCTTTAGAATTCAGGGAAGTCTTTGGATGTCATGGAAAGGTGTAAAGGAAACAGTCCTGATTACCTGGATAGTGCTATTGCCCATGAAAAATACTCCAATTTGTGACACGATGCCTTTAATGAATTGACTAAAAAAACTCAGATCTTAGTGTCAGGTGGTTTTTCTGGCAGGTCTCTGGGAAGCTCGCTATAATGTTTATTTAACATGTCATTCACCAATGGTAGAATTTCAGGACTGGTTAGTTCAATAAACTCAGAAGTTCTGTCCATCCCCTCACTCATTAACAGGTGGCTCAAGTTTCTCTCCCTGTTTATTGCCTTCTTCAACCCCATTATTGAAAATGAGTGCCTTTTATGTAAACTTCTATCCCCTGCTGTTGCTTCCACAAAGCTAATTAGTGTCCAATTGGGGCTTATCTTTTCCCAACAATACCTTATCTGTCTTCTGCAACCTCTGCAAATTCTTGCTATGGAAGCTTTCTGAGCTACTGTTTCATGGCAAACTCAACTTTATTTTCAACAAACTGTTACTTATTTGCTGTTTTAAATTAGATTTTTTTTTAATTAAAGTAATACATGTACATACTTTAAAAGGCCAAATAGTACTAAAAAATTCCCTGTCCCAATTCCCTTCACTGCCCAGAGCTGATCCCCAGAGGCCACCATTTTCCATTGTTAGCTTTGTCTTTTGATATTTACTTCCATTTAGCAAAATAGTGATACATAAACCTAAATGTTATGCATATATTTTTGGTATGTGTAAACTCATATTGTGCATATACTTATGCTGATATGTCTTGATTTATCAGTGTT